TACATTAAAAATATTTAACGATAAGTAAGTAAATAAATTTTATAAAAATTTTTTTAAAACGTTTTTTTTTATAAAGCTTTTTTTACGAAACATTATGAAATTTTTTAATAAAAGTAAACAAATAGTCAATGTTATTTATATATTTTAATAATTATTTTTATTTTAAAAAATTTCTTTTATTTATAAATTTTACAGTGTGACCGAAATAAAAGAAAATGTTGAATATAAAGTGGATTTCGTAGCAGGAGAAATGCCAATGTGCCTCTATATAACATTACCTCCAGAATTTCCTAATGAAAAACCTAGTATTAGGGTGCAACCGCCAGTGAAACATGGTTGGGTCAGTAATAATACTGATATTGATAAAGCACCTGGATTACTTAATTTTACAGTGAGTTGTAACATAATTAACCGATTGATTAATTTTAAATTCCATTTCAAATTAAATAAATCGATTTTTTTATTTTCATGTTAGGCACATTCCGATCTTGGCAGAGTTGTTCAAGTTATAATTAGGGAATTTCAAATTAGGCCACCAATGGTTGTGGGTTGTTTTTCAAATTCAATTGGTAAATTGTGTCTTTATTAACTATAATTTTGTTAAATTAATTGTAAAAAAAAAAAGTTTTTTTTTTTTTTTTTTAGATCATTCAAGCATATTGCCTAGAAATTATAATTTTGTTTCTTCCTTTCCCGAATTGATATCTCTAAGTAATGAAGAATTGCAATTGTTAAATAGTAATCCGGATAAATTAGATGATTTTGTTAGTTCGCTTAAACCCTGCATAGATTTTAATAAATTAATCGAATCTAGATTTCAAGATGTTGAAACTCTTGCTAAAAATAATTTAAGCAAACAAGGGAAATTGGAAAATGTGAAAAAACAGGTGAAGATAAATATTGGTAAGCAATAATATTTATGCGAATGATTTAAAATTAAATATATTAATTTCATCATGATATTTTTTCCAAGATATTTTCACAAATGGAACAAGCGAAAGAGTTGAAAAAATCATTCGAAATTAAAAGTAAAGAATTTGAAAATTTAAGTCAAAAATATCAACCCCTCAACATCTGTCACGTTTTAAGATTGGAAGCTATTAACAGTGATGAAGAATCAGAAATAATTGCAGAAAAATTTTTAAATAAAGAAATAGATATTGAAAAATTTCTACTCGAATATGTGGAAAAAAGAAAAGTAATGATTTACTCTCGAGAGAGATTTTTTTTTTTTGGTTAATGCATTTCTCATCATCATTGATTTTTTAATTTTTATTTTAGATAAGTCATATTAGGAAAACAAAAGAAGAAAAATTAAGCAATCAATTAAAAGAATTACAAAGAGCCAATTATTAAATATCAATCGATAATATTTATCGATTGATATTAAAAATTTCAAAACTTCAAAAGGGGGGGGGGGAAACGAGAAAAAATAGAAAATTTTTTTTTTTTTTTATATATATATTCGATGAATATTATTTATTATTAAATAATAATAATAATAGAAAAATGAACAGTTTTATAATTGCCAGTGTAATTAATATTGTGATTATTTAATATATATATATATCAAATCGACAAAAGAAAATTTTGTGGAATAGAACTGATAAAATATATATTCTACATTCGAATGAGTTGGCCAAAAATATTTATGTATATATATATAAATATAAATAGGGTATTTTGCTTAACCATTTTGTTGCTTTTTTTATTATTAGTTTATAATAATTAATTTATTGGGGAAATTAAAAAAAAAAAGACTCGGTTAAATTTTTTTTAATTTGTATCGAGAAACAAAAAAATAATAAATAAAAAGTTTTTTTTTTTTTTTTTTTTTCATTTTTTTCTTTTTCTTATTAAAAATTATTTTTAATTATTTGGGTGCAAAAAAAAAATAATTTTTGTCAACAAACAAACAAACAAAATAGGAGATAAATAAATTAATTGATTATTATTATTATTATTAATAATTTCAACAATTTATTCCAAAAGCAAAAAAATGTTATAATTTTTTTTTTTCGTAAGCCTACAAGGTTTTAATAACAGGAATTTTCTTCTTCCACCCCCCCGCTCTCCCCTCTTTTTACGATTCATTTCATTTCCGGTTATGAAATTAAAACTTTTTTTTTTTTCTTTTTAAATTTCTGAAACATAATTAAGATCTCAAAATTAAAAAAAAAAAAAATTGAAAAAAAAAGGTGACTCTCTCTCTCTCTCTCTCTCTTCATTATATAACTTATTTATTTATATATACATTTAATTTAATTTAATTTAATTAGAATTTAAATAAAATAAAACAACTTTTTTTTTTTTCTTTTCTTTTTTTTCCTTTTCTTTCCTTTTTTCTTTTTCTTTCCTTTTCTTTCTTTTTTTGTTTTTTTGTTTTTCTTTTTCTTTACTGAACATTTTTTTTTTATTATACAACTGAGGAAAGGCAATAATAAAAATTTATGGTGAAAAAATAAATACCAAAAGACTTTTTAAAGTCTTTTTTTAAAAA